AAGCAAGTTTCTCTGATAAAGGCCTCATTTCTCAAATATATAGAGAACTTAGTCAAATTTATAAGAATACAATTCATTCCCCAAATTATAAATTGTCAAAGAATATGAACAGGCAGTTTTCAGAAGAAGAAATCAAAGTTACCAATAGTCATATAAAATGCTCTAAATCACTACTAATTAGAGAAATGCAAATTAAAACAACTCTGAGGTATCACCTCACACCTTTCAGATTGGTGAACATGACAGAAGAGGAAAATGACAAATGTTGGAGGGGATGTGGAAAAATAGAAACACTAATGCACTATTGATGGAGTTGTGAACTGGTCCAACTATTCTGCAGAACAATTTGGAATTCTGCCCAAAGGGCTATAAAACTGTACGTGTCTTTTGACCCAGCAATGCCATTACTAGGTCTGCATTCCAAAGAGATCAAAGAAAATGGAAAAAGGATCTACATTTGTAGAAATATATATAGTATCTCTGTTTGAGGTGGCAAAGAATTAGAAATTGATGGGATGCTTATCAATCAGAGGATGACTGAAAAAATTGTGATTATGCTTGTGATGGAATACTATTGCAGTATAAGAAATAATGAGCAGGGTGGTTTCAGAAAAACCTGGGAAGACTTATATGAATTGATGCAATGTGAAACGAGCAGAACTGGGAGAACATTGTATACAGTAACAACAAAATTGTAAGATGATCAACTATGAATGACGACTATTCTGATCACTGCAATTATCCAAGACAATTCTGAAGGACTCATGGTGAAAAAATGCTATCCACCTCCAGAGAAAGAGCTGATGGAGTCTGAGAGCATATAGAAGCAGATTTTTTTTTCTTCATTTTTTTCCTGCTTTTTTTTTTGCAACATGGCTAATATGGAAATATGTTTTGAATGATTTTATATGTATAATTGCTAATATACTTCTTGCCTTCTTAAGGAGCATGGGAATGGTGAGAGGAAGAGAGAAAGTTTGGAACTCAAAAAAAATTAAAAGATGTTAAAAATAAAGAAACAATACAAAAAAAAATTCTAGTGAAAAAAAAAATGGGGTCATTATGAGGACTTATACCTGGCTGACATAGTTTCTTTCTGGGTATAAGACCTTGCAGATAGAGAAAATGTCAACCACTGAGGGCCCAGGGGTGGGGAACCTGAATCTTCGAAGTCACATGTGGCCCTCTAGGTCCTCAAGTGTGGCCCTTTGACTGAATCCAAATTTCACAGAATAAATCCTCTTAATAAAAGGATCTGTTCTGTAAAACTTGGGCTCATTCAAAGGGCTGCACCCAAGGACCTAGAAGGCCAGATGTAGCCTTGAGGCCACAGGTTCCCCATCCCTGATAGACTAACACACTCTTTGAGGGATCTCTGAAGTTCTGTTCAGGACTTTATAGAGCCCCACTTCAAATCATGATTGAGTTCAAAATAAAGTTGTGAAATACCACCCTTGGAAATTTACGCTTTTCTGGAGAGGCTTCCAGTCTAAAACAAATTCACATGATACCCTGTGGGTGGGAAGCTCAAGAACAAGTCCTCCAGGCAAGGGCAATTTCATGATTCTTCATGTTCATTTGGCACAGTGTGACCTCTTAGTTTTCCCATCATGGCTTGTGAAAATTGTGCAGCCAGGGTTGTTGAAGGGGATTCCCTGAAGCAGACCAATGATCCTCAAATGAAACTCTGTTCATACCAGAAGTTCCCAACTTATTTGTTCTACTTCTCCCTTCTTAAAAAAAAAAAAAATACTCAGCATCTCCTTGGAAATTGACTTTCTTTAACCCTTTAATGGTTTTTTTTCTGAAATATGCATCATTTCAAAAAATATACATATTTTTTAAAAATTACACATCTTAAATTTAATAATTTATTGTAAATTTGTGGGGTTTTTGTGCATTGAAATTTTGATGACACAATATTGCATCATGTAACCATATAGTATCATATTGTAAACAAGTCATTACATGCACATATTCCTGCCTATGCATGCTGGACTTCCTGACAATATGAAACACTTGTTAAGACCTGTCAGTGGATTTGACCACTGATTGATTATAATAACTTGCATTTTGTGTGTTTATTTGGAAAATAATGTAATCACTATGACTTTAACTCTGTTATACAACAGATAAAACACATATGAACAGTTTTTCAAAATTTTCTTTTCTTTTCTTCCTTCCTTATGCTTCCACTGTCCCTTATTTTTATTCTATGCCCCCCAATTTCACCTGAGGCTACTGCTGCTCCCCCCCCCATCAGTCCAGTGCCCCCAGGTGATGGTATTACCTACTTGGGAACCTCTGACAGAGTCATCCCTTTGTCCTTTTTAGCATTTCTATGAGATGCTATAGAAATCTTTAGAAAATCTAATTTAAGAAGAAAGGGTAGGTGTCGGCAAATGCCATTTGGGCCCCACATCTTTTCTAGATACTTAATCAAGTGAAATTTATCTTTATAATAGTAGGAGAACTAATAGCTCAAGCATTATGGTGAGACAGCCTCTTCTCCTAAAAATGTGGTCAAGAGCTCTCACTGTATTTGAGATAAGCCTAGCACTCCAAGCAGGAAAAACCAAGTGAATCAAGAATGTTTTATTTTCCAGATTCTACCATGCAGATAAAGCCATTCAAATTTGAAAGGAAGCATAGCATAGGACATAGGGCATTAGATTGTAATCAGGAAGACCCAGATTCAAGTCCAGCTTGAGATATTTATTTAATCTCTATGCACCCATTTTCTCATCTGCAAAACTGGGGAGAGTCAATAGCTTTTGAGGTCTCTTCTAGCTTTAAATCTATGACTCTATAAGATGATTTATCAGAACATACATCTTAAATGGTCACTCCAGGTGGATAACAGCTGGTCCTAGAAATAGCCTGAAGTCAAATTGCATTTGGGAAATTACATTGTGCTTTCAACTATCTCAAGTTGTTTCCTATAGACAAACGCCCCGCCCCCAAACTCCCAGAAACCAAACTTCGAGGTTTTTTGTTGTTGTTGTTAAATACCAGTATCTTCCCAGTGATATGAAATGGCTGAAAATCATGAAACATCATGATCTCAGGAGAATCAAAATTACACGTCATGTAAAGGTCAATAAAAATACTACATGGTAGCCAGTGCTGGAGGGGTTGTGGGAAATCTGTCTAACTAATAAGCTGTTGGTAGAGCTATGAATTAGTTCAATCATTCTGGAAAATAATTGAGAATGCAAGAAGTCACTCAATGCTTTAAACCCTTTGCCACAGTGATTCCCACTAGTAGACATGTTTACACAAGTAGGTCAATGACAGAAAGAAAGTTCTTATAACCTACTGAAATATTCATAGAAATATTCTTTAGAGCAGTAAAAGACTGGAAACCTAGTAGCTGTCCATGGATTGGGAAATGATTGAACAAGCTATGATTTATGAATGCAGTGAAATAACATTAAATCATAAGAGAAGTTGGCCAAAAGAAATTCTGGGAAATGTGGGAAGACTGTAGGAAATGATGAACAGCAGAATCAGGAGAACAATATACATATATCTGTATGTTTATATACAGATATATATATATGTACATATGAGTACACTAATGTAAATGAAAATGACACTAAAGGTATCAGAATTCAGATTGCTCACAATATCCAATTTTAGTCCCAAAGAATTATTGATGAAACATATTTCCCTCCTGTTTGTTGCGAGGTGGTAAAATACAGGTGTGGGTCATTGGATATGCACATACTGTCCTATAGGTAGTTGTATCTGTTTTTCTTAATTGTTCTTCATTGTTACAAGAGAGGAATCTATGGTATGTTTGTGGAGACAGTGATTGGGAAATAATGGTGTTGTAAAAACCAAAAATAATCAACAAAATTTAAAAAAAAATCAAGATTCCCACTGTCTATTTTCAGGATGCAATTGATATGTCTTACCCACAATTACTTGTAGTCAAAGTGGAGAAAAAGACATTAATAATATGTGTGACTGGAAATATATATATATATGTTTATATATATATACACACATACATATACATACATATATACATACACACACACATATATGTATGTGTATATATATATGTGTGTGTGTGTGTGTGTGTGTGTGTGTGTGCGTGCATGTGTGTATGTGTAGGCCAGTCATATGAAAGACTAGAGGAAGGCCTCCAACACACTAGGTTAATCTTCTGTGGAGGATTTTTGAGAGGACATAGAGAAGAGAAGAATCATATTGTATGAGAAAGTGTAGAGGAGTTGTACTATGTACCAGTAGAGGAACTACTCACATCAAGGAAATCACAAACACATCAAGTTATCATTGTACATTTGTTTCAAACAAATTTGGGTCTAAAAGAGGAGTGAAGGTATCCTTGAAAGAAAACTCCATCCTTTGCAAGGTGCTAAGAGTCACATGGAGGATCTACTCATAAGTAATCCCAAAATACATAGAGAGGAAAATTGCTACTTACACAACTACAAAAAGGAAAATGAAAGCAATTGTGTGGCAAATAGACTTTGACTTGTGGCTAGAAAGTTTTAAAAGGCTGGGAAATATAATACAGCAATTATTATACTCAAGATATTTATTTGCCATTCAAGGCAATTTCATTTCAATAGATAATAGCAACACAATACTTGTTTTGCAAATGGGATTTGCAGTCTCTCTGTTGGAGTAATGGGACTGACCAATCAGTAGGAGCTTGGCTTCCTACATAGTTCAGATTAGTTTAAATATCCTTGATCCTTCTTGTGAAATTTAACCTGAAGATTCAGGAAAATCTAAAAAAAAAAAAAATCCATATGTTAAGGTTGCTTCTAAAGGTTTAGAGACATACAATTTCTAGGAAGAGAGAGAAAATACTAGAAATCTCAGTTCCAATACAAGCACCACTCATATTTCATTCCTTTCTCGAAACAGAAAGGGCTTGAACTCTGGAACCCTACTAACTTGTCAAACTGAGACCACATGTAAATACCATAGGAGTCAGAGGGCTTGGGTTCACTTCCTGGCTCCGGACCTCAGCTCTTCAGCTGTAAAACAAAGAAGTAGGATTTGATGGCCTCTTAGGCACCTTCCAGAGCAAAACTAATGATCTTCTGTTCCTAGATTGGTGCAGCCAGTGACTTTTATGCCCTCAGAGAAACAAACTCCCTCGTCATTGGATATAATGGGTTGAAACCTTCCTTTTCAGTTAACTTAAGGGGTAAGTAGTCTTCAATGGGTTAGCCTGGGAACTCTCTCTTCAGAATTCTCTATTTCTGTGGAGAAGTACATTCCAAGTTTGAAACTACCATTGTTGTTATTCCTGCTGCTTCTGCTGTTATTCCAAGTCATTTAGGGAGGAGCTAGTTGGAAAAGTGGATTGACTACAGGACTTTAAGTCAGGAAGAGATGAGTTTGAATCTAGTTTCAGAAACTTATTGACTGTGTGACTGAGCAAGTCATTCAACCTATTTCAGTTTCAGTTTTCCTCAGTTGTAAAATGAGAGGGATTTGACCTCAATGGAGTCTAAGTTTCTTTCCAGCTCTAAGTAGCCATGCCATGGTCTCCATGCCAGAGCATGTATTCTGGCCATTATCCTCACCTGCCTCAAAATAGAACTTTGGGCTTTGCCCCTTGATCAGACAGGTATATTTTGGCCTTAGCTTGCCCAGAACCAGACGCTCAGGCCATTGCCTGGCTCTTTCCACCCCACGTGCTTCCAGACCCCCATTATGTTATCTTCCTCCATTAGAATGGAAGTTCCTTGAGGGCAGGGTCTCTTGCTTACTTGTGTTTGTATCCCTAGCACTTAGAACACTTAGCATATAGCATCCTTAATATACGCTCTTTCTATCTATCATCTATCTAGTATTATTAGAAAACATTTATATCATGCATTTAAGTTTACAAGGAGTGATACATGTATATGTATATGTCTGTGTAATATGTACATGTATATATGCCTATGGATATGGATATAGATGTAGATATGTCAGAGGAATTCTGGAACCAGCTCATATAGGCTTGTAAGAGCCAATTATTAAAATTTCAGTTTGGGCATTTATACCTTGGCAATCAGCAAATGCTACAAATCAGGGCTTGATTTATTGTTTTGTTGACTGTCTAGACATAAAAAAGTAATGGCAAAAATAATACAGATTATTAACCAAAAGAATGTTGTATGCAGTAATTGCTATATTATTTTAAGAACAACTTTGAGAAAATGAGTCATTTTGACTATTATAAATACCTAAATTAACTACAAAGGACATATGAAGGAAGATGCTATCTGCATCCAGAGAAAGAACTGATAAATAGAAGTATGTATAGAATGATTTTACATATATATACATACCTGTGTCTAATGACAACCATCTCTAGGCTGGGGGGACAGAGGAAAAAAGGAAACAAAAAAGAAATTGACATGATAACTTTATTACATATTTTTTAAAAATAGCAAGTTGTACATAAAGATTTATAGTTTCATGTCCAACCTTTTTTTTATTATACTATATTATGGAAATGCTTATTCTATTAATTAATTAATTAAAAATAAAATAAATAAAAATTTTAAAAATGCAGATTAAACCTAAAAGTATGTTGTACACACAATTTTTTTTGGAGAGCGTTTTTTTTTAAATTACCAGTAAACCATTATGTGTATTGTGCATGTATGTGTGTGTCCATATATAAATATATTCAAAGTGTATATTTTATAATTATAATAAACAATTATATAAATATAATAGATTCTATATGAATATATGTGTATGCACACATGTGTATATATGTATATGGACACACAGCACACACACACACATATATACACATATATACTCACACATATTCCTTTAGTCCTCTCAATACTTTTCTGAGGTAGTTGATATTTTTATCCCCATTTATCCCCGTTTTAGAGATGAGGATATGGAGGCTGACAGAGCTTAAATAGTTTGTCCAGGTCACTTAAGACAGAATTTGAACTCAGGTATTTCTGTGACTACAAGTCTAGCCCTCTATCCTCTAAGCCATGAACTTTTGGAAGATAAACTATTTCTAAGTGATAAACTTCTTACACATATAAATAACATAAAAATAGGCAACCTGAAGTGTTTTTGAAAATTGAGCTTAAATGTTCAAGGGGATGTCTAGCATCCTTGTGGCAAGATGTGCTTTTATAATGATCAGTTGGGAAGTCTACCTGGGAACAGATTTGGGGGTCAATGGAGAATCAGTCTGGAGTCTCTATGATCTGCTGAGGGATGTGGCTGAATGTACAAACCCAGAATCTAAAGCAATGCCTTTGACGTGGCTGTGCAGACACTTACTCAGGTTTGGGCCTGGTGATTTTGCCTGATTAGTGATAGTGAAAGATATGGAAAAGGCCCAAGGAATGAATTCATTGCTACTGTGGTTCTTCCCGGATGATGGCTTCCCAGTGTGAAAGGACTGAATCATCACACTGGGGAGAAGACTCCACGTCCAGGTAGTCTTTGTCTGTGGCTATACTTCTGTAGAAATACACATTCAGGAAGCTTGAAAAGAGCTGAGGAAAGAAAGAATGTGAATTCTCTGCTCCTTCCAAGAGCCAGAAAACGAGCGGGTGAACGTTCCATCATCCAGTGAAGTCCTTCTCTGAGGACACACTGGATGTAGTGTGTGATATAGAAGAATGACCACTGATCTTAGAGTTAAAGCAGCCCTGTAACTAGCTGTGAAGTCATGGTCAAGTCACTTCTTGCCAAGACTCAGTTTCCTCATCTGTAAAATGGGCAAAATAACCCATGTACCTCCTGCTTCAGAGAGTTGTTATGGAGAAAGGGCTTTGTAAAAATTAAATAAAGCTCTACATAAATGTGAGCTGTAGTTATTATTATTGTTATGATCTCATTCTCATCTTTTCTAATGAGGTACAAGTAGAAAAGGTCCTGAACAAATCACAAACCTGCTGTCAATCTCTCATATTTAATCTTCTGATTTCACATGTCCGTCAAATGACTACTTATTGAAATTAAAATATTCAGATGTAAGTAAAATCATCTTCTCAATGTCACTGAGTGGACAATTGTGTTTACTGATAGGACAGAGAGAATGAGATGTACCTTATGCTTTCCCACAGGATTTTGGTTTCTTTTGCCAGGTCTCTATATTTTGAAAGCTTTTCATTTCACATAGGTTGGAGGTTATGAGCATTTGGTATGGTGGCAACTATTAAAATTCAAGATTTTATGGGTCAATGCTATGTTGAGATAGATTGAAGACAATGCTGTGCTAGGGAATGTTTAACAGCCATCTCTCTGGGGGAAAAATACACATGGTACAATTTTAAGTGTAATCTGTATTATTATTAATGTTTTCTCCATCACTTTATTACTCTAGATTATCAATAAAATAATAAATCCCTGATTTGTGGCATTTTCCAATTTCTGAGGAACAAGTGCTTACACTGAAAATTTAACAATTGACTTTTGTAAGCCGGTTTGAACTGGTTCCAGCACATCACAGATTGTTGGCAACTATATGGTCTGTAATGATGCTCCAGTAATAGTACAGTTTGTTTTAATTATCCAGGATTTTTTTTTTTTGCTATTTCCATTTATAGTTTGGAGACAGGTTGCCTCTTGAACAATTTGGAACTATTCCAAAGGGCTATAAATCTGTGCATACCCTTCGACCCAGCAATACCACTGCTAGGTTTGTATGCCAAAGAGATTTTTTTAAAAAGGAAAGGGACTTACATGTACAAAAATATTTATAGCCACTATTTTTGTGTTAGCAAAGAATTGGAAATTGAGGGGATATCTATCAACTGGGGAATGGATGAACAAGTTGTGACATATGACTGTAGTGGAATACTATTATACTATTGTACTATAGCAAATGATGAGCAGGACGCTTTCAGAAAAGCCTGGAAAGATTTAAATGAACTGATACAGAGTGAAGTGAGCAGAACCAGGAGAACATGATACATAGTAACAGCAATATTATATGATGATTAACTGTGAATGAGTTAGCTATTCTGACCAAACAATAATCTAAGACAATTTCAAAGGATTTATGATAAGAAATGCTATCTAAAAGAAGCAATGGAGTCTGAATGAAGCATACTGTTTTTCATTTTCTTGTGTGTGTGTTCTTGTGTCTGTATTTTCTTTCATGACATGATTAACATGGAAATGTGTTTTGCATGATTCGACATGTATAACCTATATCAAATTGCTTGTTGTTTCAGGGACAAGGAAATGGAGGGTGGGAGGGAAAGAATTTTGAACTCAAAATTAAAAGTAAAAGAATGCTAAAATTTGTTTTTACATGTAATTGGAAAAATATTATTAAAAAAAAGAATTGTGAGCTTCTGATAGATAATTCTGGCCACCTGATTGTATTTTGCTAGCAAGGAGCTAATTTTTATTATTAATTTTTTTTAGCCTGCAATTATGTGTTGTACAGTTTCAACTGTGTCCTTGGAAATTCTTCATCAATCAATAAACCCAGGTCTCTTAGTGATGTCCGCTGTAACTTCTGGTGGCAGTATCCTGATTTTATATCACCATCATAAACTGCTCAACTTCTGTAAATAGATTCATATGCTATTCAACCCTTCTTTGCTAATCTGAGTCTTCTTTGAATTCATGAGAATGTCACCTAAGGAAGACTTTTTGTTTCAAATCTTGGTGTCATTTTACAGAATCAATAACAAAGATGGTCCTTAAATATAAGACATGTAATTTGAAATAATTTTTAGGCAGAAAAAGATGTTCTCAATAATTTCTAATCTCATAATTATAACATTCTATGCTCTTATAATACGTTATTTGCAAATATGTGTTAAATGGTGACACCTCTTGATCAAATGTGGCATGGTACCTCAGCTCTATCAAACACTTCTATGTCCCCATACAAAAGAAGGAGGAGAGCAAACTGTACTTTTGGGACCACTAAGTTTGAAGAAAGAGAATCACTGGGAAGTGAGAGGAGAGCAGAGGTAAGATCTTGGAATCAGGAAAGTACTGACAAATGTAGAAATAATACAGAGATTAAGGACAAAGTACTCCTAGTCTAATACCCAATATTATCAAAAGCTTAGCCATTATATTAATACCTTCCTCAGTCAGAATTTTCAACTTTGCTTGTTTGAAGATTTTTTTCCCTTCAGAGAAATATATATCCAAGTTTAGGATAAAAGTTGGGAGAATTCTAAGATTTGCTTTATAGCTATTTGC